AAATACATCATTGTCATTGCTTGTGGATCTTCTGAGTCTTGTGAAACAAGGTTGTCGTGGGGCGACTGACGGCGACCAACATTGGGAGTTCCGTACGCTTTTTCCCAATAAATGTATTTTGGGCGTCACAATCCCCTATTTCCTTAGTCGCATTGTGATGTGTGATTATCTATTGATATCGGACTTGGGGGAGTAGGAGGCTAGAAAGGTAGCGAGATTGAGATCGAGAGAGAAGAGGAAGAAGAGGGTTTCAATAGAGGTCCAAGGGCCCGAAAAGTATAAGCAAAGCACGTGCAATTTGGGTTGTACCACCAACAGGTGTAACGGTCTTAGCTACACTAGTATGTGCTGTAGGCAAGCAGTTAATAGACATAACATATTCTGAGTATAAGCAAAGCACGGGCAATTTGGGTTGTACCACCAACAGGTGTAACGGTAATAGCTACACTAGTATGTGCTGTAGGTAAGCAGTTAATAGACATAACATATTCTGACATTAATATCCTTACGTCATAAAGCAATAATGTTTTACAACACTTTGCGAATGTGAGACAGGTGCACCTGCTATTGCCTTCCGGTTGGGTTGGGTGCCGCAAATACCTAGCAGCACTCTCAACATTACTGTTTGATACTGAGTAATAGCTCCGCACCCTAGTTAGACCCAGCAATGTCGATCAGCATTGTAGATGGATATACCGGAAGCGCTCGCATATAAGACATATTTGTCCTATCCGATTCTGCTTTAAAAAGTGGTTGTTTGTCTCCTAACTTACACTCCCACCTTCCCTCATCCTACACACGACCTCGTTTACTCCCAGTCTCTAGCTCTCTGCCACCCTACACCAGGCTCTGCCCAACAGACTCAGTGAGCGCACCCTCCTCGGCTCCGGTGTCTTCCATATTAGTAAGGTCGTGGCGGTCCACACCCAAGACACAGGGTGGCTGGTCCACTACATGTGCATCTGGAGTTTTTTTGCAATCATGTCCCAAGCCTTTCTGTTATTCGCCACCTACTCTATACACAGTGCCCGCTTGACCATGATTCCCGCTGGACCCATGCCCTTTCCTCTCACTTGCCCACTCTACTCCCTGATCCCTCTCATGCTTTCCTCCTGCCTCAAGCATGATCTCCTCTTCCGACTATACACACGTTCGCTACCTTCAGGTTCCCGTTTCTAGTTCGCAACAGATACGAGCCGTCGTAGAAGAAGAAGAAGAAGGAGAAGAAGAAGAAGAAGAAGAAGAAGAAGAAGAAGAAGAAGAAGAAGAAGAAGAAGAAGAAGAAGAAGAAGAAGAAGAAGAAGAAGAAGAAGAAGAAGAAGAAGAAGAAGAAGAAGAAGAAGAGGAAAGAATTGGATCACGCGTTCATGAGGTTAGATGACTACGCTTCATCTCCTTTGCAGCAAATGACACCTCCGTCCATTCAGATCTCCGCACCTCTTAGTTCCTCTAGAACCCTTTCTGCCCCCCCGCCCCCCCGCCCCTCTCTCTCCACGGTAGATTGTTGCAGAATGCATCACAGTGACGTTGGTAGTTGATGTTACGAATAGTGAATGAAAATTGGTTCTAGGCATTCCTGCCAGTAGCAAGAACGAAGAACTCATAAAGAGAACGAGGGCGAAGGGTCAAAGGCGACATGAGCAGTTGCGAACTGTTAGAGCAGACAACATCGGGCAACTACAGGAGCAAGGAAAGGGTGGGAACGGTTTCGTACCTGTGAGCGCCGCACGGTTGGGTTTGAATTCAAATCAGGGAATGTACTCCGTAGAGAACATGGCTAGACTAGGACCTTTCAAATTCCCCTGTACTCTTATATAATCTGGTGTATCTCCATGATTTCATCATCTCAGTCATTTTATATTCACTCTTATCTAAGGTCACAATCTTCCGCTGCAAACACTTCAATTTTGCAAACCTTCCTGAGGTGATCCTAGGAACAATCTACCTTCTAATCGCAACATGGTATGAGAGCGACTCTGGAATCCTTCACAAGCCACCACCGAAATCTTCGGCAAGCTAAAAGTGGCATCCGGCATACGCTCGCGCGTAAGAATGGCCGGTGAATCTGGAGGTTAGACGAATCTGACCGTTGGAACGCAAGTTAATCCGGCTGCGACCAACAAGGAGACGACGAATATCGGCATCGCCGCCCTCGCACAACCACTTCAGCGACTCTCAACTCTGGAGGTGTCCAGGCATTGCGGAATGGCGACGCGGGAATATCTTCCCAACCCTATCAACCGGTCTCAAATGGCCGAGATACCGCCTCGCACACCTTCTCCTTCGAAACGAATGACTTAACTCTCAAGACTCCCCGTCCCAGCGATGAGGCAATTCTCTCAGCATAATCAAGGTTTTTTAGCATAAAAAAAAAAAAAATTACAAGTGTCTGCTTTGACGGCAAAGACTTCTATACGTGGAGCTTCGAGCTGGAGCTCCTGCTACAAAACGTGCAGATATTTCACTACCTCGACGGGAGCTGTGCAAGACCTGCTAAAGAAACCGTCAACGCCAGGACGCAAAACTACAACGAATCACTAATGGCGTACGGCGTCTTACTGCGAAACATGTCGTCGGCAGAGCACCTGAGCATTCGTTCCTACAAGACAACATCTGCTCCAGCCCTCGACGCTTGGCGACATCTCAACGGCGTATACCAACCGAAAGACTCGGTTTCTTCAAGCCGCATGCTCCAACAGCTACTGGAGACAAAAATGGCCCCAGGGGAGAAGGCCAACAGCTACATCAACCGTTGCGAAATTGGGAAGCACAATTTTCGAAGAAATCTTTGTGAATATCGTGCTCGCAGGGCTCGGCCCAGAATGGCGGCCCTACAAGGCGCTACTCCGTCAGCAGTGGGCTATCTTAGTAGCCGCCCTATGTGGCGCCCTCCTTGTCGAACAACGGGATATGGACCAGCAGCGACCAGTGCCGCGACGAGAACAGGAGAGAATTGCATTCTAAGCTGACAACAAAGAAGAACGCAAGCCACGGCGCCTCTACTGCAAAATTTGCAGAAACTTTGGGCACCTGGCCGAGCGATGCAAGTTTCGCTCCGCCCCTCGCCAGTCCAATCCAAGCACTTGGACTGGCCGACAAGGTGCACGAAACGACATGCGTCAAGCCCAGGAGTATCAACCCCCATCGCGCCACCTGAACCCAGCGGTTCAGCACCAGCAGCAGCAGACGTCAGCACACGGACCTGCGCAAAGCATCATGGGGAACATGACGATGACTACATGCGGAACCCGCCATCGTCGCGTGCGCACACCGTCTCGCGAGCGAGCACGACATCCGATTGGGGCGTTCACGGACAACAATCCGTTCACCACCCGACACGACTTCAGCAACGATGATGACCAGGACTGGAATCTTCCAGTCCCACTGCTTGAATGCCCCCCGCACGTACCTGATTCGCGAGCGGCACCGATCGATTGTATCTCGCGCGAACAATTCCTAAAGCTTGACACACCACACATCGCCACGCCGTGATTGGCGCTGCTCGCGCGTGACGACAACAGGTGCTACAACACGTGGTACCTGGATAGCTGCTGTGGGCATCCAACGCTGTATCCACCTCCACAGTCACTTACGTCACTGTGGCAAACAACACATGTCTGCGTGCAAGCGCGCAAGGCATCGTCGTTCTTAAGGCACGAGGGAGCAAGACGCATATCACACTGAATGATGTGCTGATCGTGCAGAATCTACGTTTCAACCTTTTCTCGGTGGCGCAACTAATGGATTGCGGAGTTGGTCTCAGCACCAACCCCGAGACGCGCGACACCTTGCTGCACCAATGGTCTCACCGCTATCACCGAAGCTGAGCGATCTGAGCCCCCAAAAGAAGGGATGTCATTGTGGAGCTAGAAGTCACAACACAACGTATTTTCAGCGGTGAACAAGACCCGGCCCTGGGCTCACCGTCACAGCGACTTCAAGGGATACTGCTGGGACAACGCCGCGGAACTACCCCCGCTTGACATCCAGCTGCATCGCGACCTCTGGGACCCTATCGACTAGGGGAATGAGCCCTCGACCCCATGTCGCACAGTCTACGGACCCGATCCCAAATGCGCGAGCCTGCCTTCGTCCCGGGTACCATCCCTGAAACGAACATCCCACTCTCTGTGATACTCGACCGAGAGTTTTTGGCATTGATGCTGATGACGACGAGCGATAAAGACGAAGAAGAAGAAGAAGAAGAATAAGAAGAAGAAGAAGCACCGGTGGAACCTCCCCCAATACCAAAATAAGACCCTGAAGAAGTGCGCGTGCGCTACATGCGCGCCTTCGGATTCCTCCCTCCCTCCCCACTCGCATTTTCCCCTCGTTCTCCCCCTTCGGCCACCACCATGCCAGCCCATGAGCCACAGCGTGTTTGTGAAGAACCTAAGCTTCACAACCCTTCCTTTCTTTTCCCACTGCCTTCTTGTCCCCCCTCCTTACGCCTGCCCTTCCTTTGGCCACCACCATACCCGCCCACGAGCCACAGAGTGTGTGTGAAGAATCTGAGCTTCACAGCCCTTCTTTTCTTCACAGTGTGTTTGTGAAGAATCTTGAGCTTTGCCACAACCGAGGCGCAGCTTAAAGCCCAAGACCTGAATTACAAGAAAAAGAAGGCAAACTGTGCACAGTTTGCCTACCGAACCCACAGTTGACCTCCCGAGCCAGGCTGGTTACCAGAAAGGATCGCATACAAAAATCACTGAGTCGTTCAGCAGAGCAGGGTTGGTTGGCGAGAGTCCCAACAACACACTCCACAAGGAACAACCGCTCAAAGTGTGCACAGTTTGCGTACATGGTAATTCAGGTCGTGCTTGTATTCATAGTACTCTTAGATTGTTCCAAGAGACAGAATAAAACGCCAACATAGCATAGGCCACGAGCACTTCCGCCTTCATTATGGGACCCTTAGAACTCCAGGTGTATCTATCCTACGGCCAAAATAGAAACCCCGACGGGATTGGTGGTCGTAGCTTATCGGCATGACAACTACTATGTTAGTGGCGTATCACGTATTCTCACTCGCTCGCCCTGGCATCGCAACCCCGCGGACATCGCATTTGGCCCAATCGCCTTCCGCGTTCCCCACGCTTCCCCCCATCGTCTCTCACACACCCCCCCACGCACACCCTCACCGTCGCCCAAGCTCCTCCCCACCGCTGCGAACGCTTCCTCCTGCCTTCACCCACGCTTCCCCACATCGTCGCTCACGCCTTCCCCCACCTTCCCTCACGGTGGGAAGCTCATCGCCCACGCTTCTCCCCACCGTCGCCTACGCTTCCCCCCACCATCGCCCACGCTTCTCCCTACCGTCGCCCACGCTTCTCCCCACCGTCGCCCACGCTTCTCCCCACCATCGCCCACGCTTCTCCCCACTGTCGCCCATGCTTCCTCCCACCGTCGCCCACGCTTCTCCCCACCGTCGCCCACGCTTCTCCCCACCGTCGCCCACGCTTCTCCCCACAGTCACCCACGCTTCTCCCCACCGTCGCCCACGCTTTCCCCCACCGTCGCCCACGCTTCTCCCCACCGTCGCCCACGCTTCCTCCCACCGTCGCCCACGCTTCCCCCCACCGTCGCCCACGCTTCCCCCCACCGTCGCCCACGGTTCCTCTCACCGTCGCCCACGCTTCCCCCCACCGTCGCCCACGCTTCCCCCCACCGTCGCCCACGCTTCCCCTCCCATCGTCCTCCCTGTCGCCTGGAAATTTCCTTCCCCGCCGACCTCCCTTCCCTCTCACCTCTCTCCTCGCTTCTCCACTCTCGCCGCCCACCCTCTCATCCGTGCCTATCGTCTTTAGGTTCCTCGTTGCTTCCCTTCCCATTGCCGCATTTGGTCGCTCTCGCTCTCCCCATTGCCACCTTCTCTACTCCTTCCACCCCACCCTTGCACCCTCCTTTCCTTCTCTCTCATTCTCCCTCCCCCCCTGCCTCTCACCCAACCTGGCCGCGGACGTATGGCTGGCCGGTCTCGAGCGTTGGGGATGGGGTCGTGACTCGTTCGCGGTGGGATGTGGGAGGGTGCGTGGTCAGCAGCACCCACCCTTCTCTCTCTTGCACCAACCCCGCACACATGGCAGGTGCTGCTGCGGCTTTGGAGCAGAGCGCAGGGCGCACAGCCGCAGCAGCGCGTGCAGTCGGGCAGCAAGGAGCGCAGTGCTGCAGGGGGTACGGCAGGGGAGCGGGGGAGGCGGGGCAGGGGATGCGGGGCTGCGCGGGGCAGGGGAGGCGGAGGGGAGGGAGAGAGGGTCCAGGGATCCTCCTATCCCCCGTTCCATCCTTATACCCTGCCCTCCTCCCTTACTCTGTTCGTTCGTTCCCCCACAGTCGTCCTCCCCTCCCTTCTCCGTTGTAAAGGCACCGCTGCAGGTGGACGGGGTGACATGGCACGTGACGCGGGAATGGATGGGCTACCCGCATGTGATGTGCTACTCCCTTCCGCACATACTCCCTTCCTCACATCCTACCATCCTCACATCTCCCTTCCTCTCATCCTCCCTACCTCTCATCCCCCCTTCCTCTCATCCTCCCTACCTCTCATCCCCCCTTCCTCTCATCCTCCCTTCCTCACATCGCCCTTCCTCTCATCCTCCCTACCTCTCATCCCCCCTTCCTCTCATTCTCCCTTCCTATCGTCTTCCCTCCCTCTCGTCCGCCCTTCCTCTCATCCTCCCTTTCTCTCATCCGCCCTTTCTCTCATCCTCCCTTCCTCTCATCCTCCCTTCCTCTCATCTTCCCTTCCTCTCATCCTCCTGTCCTCTCATCCTCCCTTCCTCTCATCCTCCCTTTCTCTCATCCTCCCGTCCTCTCATCCTCCCTTTCTCTCATCCTCCCTTTTCTCATCCTCCCTTCCTCTCATCCTCTCATCCTCCCTTCCTCTCATCCTCCCTTCCTCCCTTCCACCCAACGCTGTCCTCTCCTGATACTCCCTTCCTTTCTTCCCTTACTCTGTGCAGGGTTTGTTCCCTCCCTCCCTGTTTGTATAGGTCTGCTATGCATTCAGTTCAGTGTGATGCATTTGCTGTTTGATGCTAGTATGTCAAATAGCCATGCCATGTACTGATGTTGGATGCTTCTCATAATACAAACCTCTCAGCATTGAAGTACACATGACCACTACAAAGAAGTACAATAAAGCGAGACTGTATCTTTCTATGAGAGTGGTCAAGGGTGTATTATAGGCACAATGCACAAAACCAGCAACTGTCTGCTGCAATGCATGCAATAAACCTGCAACCCTTGGTGCTGGGCACCTGTACAAGCATGGTTGTGTGAAGGAATGGGGAAGGAAGGGGTTTGGCAAATAAGCAGGAGGTACAGAAGGGCATGTCTAGGAGGAGTTGAACGAAGGGGAATAGAGCGTAAACAGAGGGGAAAGAGGGGTGAGCCCAGGCGGGGAGAAAGTGACCAGGGGGGGAGAGAGTGAGCAGGGGGGGAGAGAGTGCGGCAGGGGGGGAGAGAGTGCGGCAGGGGGGGGAGAGAGTGCGCATGGGGGGAGAGAGTGCGCAGGGGGGGAGAGAGTGCGCAAGGGGGGGAGAGAGTGCGCATGGGGGGAGAGAGTGCGCAGGGGGGGAGAGAGTGCGCAGGGGGGGAGAGAGTGCGCAGGGGGGGAGAAAGTGCGCAGGGGGGGAGAGAGAGCGCAGGAGGGGAGAAAATGACCAGGGGGGAAGCAAGTGAGACGGGGGAAAGAGGGTGAGCGGGGGGGAAGAGAGTGAGTGGGGGAGAGAAGAGTCAGCAGCAGGGCAGAAAGTGAGTGGGGGAAGGAGAGAGTGAGCGGTGGGAAGAGAGTGAGTGGGGGGGAAGAAAGCTGGAGAGTAGGGTGGACGAGAAGCGGGACTGACGGGCGGAAGTGATGAGAAAGGACTGGAGGAGAAGGAGGAAGGAATGGAGGGGTGCGAAGGGAGTTACCTGGGAAGCCCGTACGATGGAAGGGAGGAAGAGAGGAAGGGGGAACGAGGAAGGGAGAAGGAGGAAGGAGGTTTTACTTTGTGCGAGGATGTGGGTGAGAGTGAAGCGAAGCGTGGGGGACTGGAGGGGGTACAGACGGGCGATGAGAGGGGTAGAGAATGCGATGGCCAGGAAGGCGAGGGCGATGAGTGGGGGAAGCGAGGGCGACAGGGGGGGGGAAGTGAGGGCGACGCGCGGAGGAAGCGAAGGCGACGGGCGGAGGGAGAGAAGGCGACGGGCGGAGGGACAGAAGGCGACGGGCTGATTGACAGAGGCGACGGGCGGATGGAGAGAAGGCGACGGGCTGGGCGAAGACGACGGGCTGAGCGAAGACGACGGGCTGAGCGAAGACGACGGGCTGAGCGAAGACAACGGGCTGAGCGAAGACGACGGGCTGAGGGAAGACGACGGGCTGGGGAACGAAGGCGACGGGCTGGGGAACGAAGGCGACGGGCTGGGGAACGAAGGCGACGGGCTGGGGAACGAAGGCGACGGGCTGGGGAACGAAGGCGACGGGCTGGGGAACGAAGGCAACGGGCTGGGGACGCGTATGCGACGACGCGGGCGACGGCAAGGGGAAGCACGGTCTTGGGAAAAGAAAAGCGAGGGCGATGGGAGGCTCACGCTTGGGCGAACGGGTGGCTATTGTATATTCGCCGCGAGTTTTATGGAGCAGCTCCTACTAAACCTGCATGTCGACACCTAATCTCATCGCACGCCGTACACTATCTCTGCACTTCACACTCTCATTCCGCGCCACACACCCTCGTATCGCGCATCTGATCCCTCTCGAGTCAACGCCTGCCTTACAGGTGCTGAAGCTTGTGCCTAAATAGTTCTGGTTTGCATCCTAAGTTTCTCAAACTGTGCACAGTTTGGTATGCATCTTGTATTCTGGTTGTTGCGGGAATGACCCCACGACGCATCACTCGTTTTCTTTGAAACGACACAGTTTTCTCGCAAACTGGTTTCGCGAGTGCGAGAGGGTCCGCAACCCAACCGAACCTCCGATTGCCTTCCTCCGAACCTAAAAACTTTGGTTTGACTTCCGTTGAGTAATTCAGGTCTTGGGCTTTAAGGATCACCTGGAGAAGCTTCTTGCATCGAGCTCTCACCTTCCTCTTTGGACATCGTCCTGTTCCCTGCTTCCCACCCTCCCCTTTTCCCTTGTGTACCCACCATGGCATCCCACGAGCCACAGTGTGTTTGTCAAGAATCCGAGCTTTGCCACAACGGAGGCGCAGCTTAAGGATCACCTGGAGAAGCTTCTTGCATCGAGCTCTCAGCTTCCCTCTTTGGACGTCGTCCTGTTCCCTGCTTCCCACCCTCCCCTTTTCCCTTCTGTACCCACCATGCCAGCCCACGAGCCACAGTGTGTTTGTGAAGAATCTGAGCTTTGCCACAACGGAGGCGCAGCTTAAGGATCACCTGGAGAAGCTTCTCAGAAGCAAGCACACAAGGGGCGAGGGTCCATCCATGCGCAGCGTCACGGTGAGAAGTGGATTTGTAGCAAGGCGGGGGGGGGGGGGGGGGAGGGGGGGGGGGGGGAGGGGGGGAGAGAGAGGGTGAGAGAGGGGGGGAGAGGGGAGAGGTGGGAGTCTTGTGCTCATGAATGAATGAATGATGCGAGCAGCTCATGATTCCTTGTGCAAGGTTATGCGCTTTTTACCTGCGCTGCGTGCTTCACTGACATGCACGTATCCTTTGTGCATTTACTGGCATTCTGCTTGTTTCACTGGCATTCACTGGCATTCTGCTTGTTCCTCAACCCCCTTGAGTGCAAAATGACGGGCTTTTGAGAAGTGTCAGAATATATGTTAGTATATTTTTTTTATATATTTGTTTTTATAAATATTTTTATATTATATATAAACACATCCCTCGTGTATGAGCCCCCTGTGGCAAATATAGCAGGCGCCTCAACAGTCGTCCAACTCTGCTCCTCCCTTACCCGCTTTGGTTGTGAACTCACCACTGCAGATAAAGAAGCGAGTGCGGAATGGCAAGCAGCTGTCGATGGGGTTTGGATTTGTGGAGTTTGGATCGGTTCTTGCAGCACACCGCGCATGTAAGCTGCTGCAGGTGAGTCGTGTGGTGTAGTCTCCATACCCTTATCCATACATGTAGTATAAACCCTGTTTCATTGCTGCTGCAACTGAGCACAGCTGCAAGCAACTTTCACAATTTCCATTATGAATCCCTCTACTCTACTCTAAACTACCCTACTATTCCCTCCCACCCCCAACTGTATTCAAATCTCCGCAGGGAACAGTGTTGGACGGGCACGCGTTGCTGCTACTGCTGAGCAAAGGGGAGGCTAAGGGGGATGAGGGAAAAGGGGAGGCAGCAGGGGCAGGAGGCAAGGGGAAGGAGAGCTCGACCAAAGTGATCGTGCGGAATGTGGTGAGTTGAGGGTGGGTAGGGGTGAGGGGAGGGGAGAGGGGGCTGGAGAGTGGGGGTGTGAAAAAGCAGGGGGCAAGGGGAAGGAGAGCTCGACCAAAGTGATCGTGCGGAATGTGGTTGCGGAGAGTCACTCTACAACGGTAGTGAGCTAGACTACGGGGGTTGGCACGAACTACTAGAGGTGATCGTAGCTTTGCTTGGTTCCTTAGTGCTTGCACATTCACGGGAGAAATCGGCAAGAGTTTCCACTAGGCAAAGTCGAAATTACAGAAAATAATTCAACAAGCAATGACAGAATGACTACATCAGGCACCTAGCAACCCTGCAGCTAGCCTGGTCGACCGCCAGCACAGCTCGGTCGACCGCCTGCCAGCGTTGCGTAGAGGAGCCGCGCCAGCACTGCAGAAGGGCGACCTGCCAACAGAGCAGGCGAGGGCATGCCAACGCTGCAGCAGAGCGGCTGTCCAGCGTTGCCCCGTAGAACACAGCAGTGCGCACGCTCGCAGGTGCACGCAGACGATTGGCCCGACTTGCTTCGTTGGGCATCCGTCGGCTGTTGTCTGCGCCTGACAAGCCACATCGACTTCGGGATACCAGCCCGCAGTCGTCTTCGCCATCGCAACCTCGACGACGTTCGCGTGCCTCCGCAGAACTCGTCGAGCAGGTTACCCGGTCGACCACCAGGTCCCTTTGGTCGACCACCAGGTGCCTCCGGTCGACCACAACTCCCGTCGAGCTACCCCCTGGTCGACGGACCCCTTCCGTCGACCAGAACCGTCAGCGGTTGTCGCCGAGCTCCCCTCGTCGACCGCTGCTTCACTTGCCAGGTCGACGGGATGCTCCGGAGACCCCCCGGTCGAGCTGCAAGTCGACGGACTGCTCCCGGTCGAGCTCCAGGTCGACGGGGACCCCCTGGTTGAGCTGGAGGTCGACGGAGACCTCCCGGTCGAGCTGCAGGTCGACGGAGGCCTCCCGGTCGAACTGCCCCTCCTGGTCGACGGCCCACCCGTCGCCCAGACCAGTCAGTTGCAGCTGTCGAGCTCCCTGGTCGACAGCAGCACCACAGCAGTCCCCTGCAGCTCGACAGTGCCTGTCGAGCAGCTCTCCCACTGTGAACGGTCGGCTGCTACTCCCGTACATCCGACCAAGTCGTTGGCGTTGCCCAAGCGAGGGCGGGGCCAACTCCCCATTCCTGTTAACACTCCCCTGCCGCGCTCACGCTTGGGCCTCCAGCCCACACGGCAGTACTCCACGGAGAAAACTCGTCCTCGGCGTGCACCCCACACACAGCACGCTGTCACCGCACCAGCCGTGCAGAAGGGCACGGCACCTACTGCTGCACCTCATCGTCGCCGTCGCCGACATCGGACAGACGAACTTGGCCGATGGCGACAGAGCACCGGTTGAAAGCCGGAAAATGCAGCGCCTTAGTCAGGAAGTCCGCCGGCTGCTCGGTGGTCGGGATGTACTTCAGCCCGAATTTCCTGCGCCTCACCATGTGCTGCAGCCAGGCGTAGCGTCGCTCCATGTGCTTGAGGTTGCCCGTCAACCCCAAGCCCTCAGCGACCGTGATTGCCGACTTGTTGTCGACGCGGAGGATGGTCGGCTTCCCAGCGTCGAGCAGCTTGAATTCCGCAAGAAGGAAACGAAGTCGGCGTCCCTCCTTGCCTGCATCCGTGGCCGCCACATACCTCGACTCGGTCGATGACAATGTCGCGCACTTGATGCGCGAGCTCGACCAGGAGATGGCGGCCCCTCCGTAGACGAACACGTAGCCTCCCGTGCTCGTCCGGTTCTGCTTGTCGCCCGCGTCGTCGGCATCGACGTAGCCGATCAGCTCCAACGATTCTGGTCCACCGCCGAACTCTAGGGCGGTATCGCGGGTGTCGGCGAGGTATGCGAGGCAGCGGTCGACCTCGCGCCAATGCTGGTCGCTCCTCACCGTGAGGCCGCTCCCCAGCTTGCTGCAGGCGAACGCGATGTCCGGCCTCGTCGTCGTCGCCGCGAACTGCAGCGAGCCGACCTTCTGCCGGTACTCCTCCTCCTCGCGCTCCTGAGCCTCCTCGTCGTCGAACGTCAGCTGAGCGTAGGCGTCGACCGAGACCGGCGTCTTCGGGACTCGACCGCCTTGCTCCTCGTCGATGAAGCGACTGCGCGGCTTGTCGGCGTAGCCCTGCTGGTGCAGCCACAGCTTCCTGGCCGGCCTGTCGCGCACGATCTCCAGCCCAAGGTACTTCACCACCGGCGAGATCTCACGCAGCTTGAAGGCGGCCTCCAGCAGCTCCTTCAGCATCGCGGTGCTGCTGCTGGCGGCGAGCAGGTCGTCGACGTAGACCAGTACCCAGCAGGTCACTCCGTCGTCGCCGGCCTTGAAGTAGAGCGCCTCGTCGACCTGGCTCTTCTTCCAGCCAATGCCCAGCAGCACACTGTCGAGAGCCCTGTACCACAGTAGCGGCGACTGCTTCAGCCCGTAGAGGCTCTTCAGCAACTTGCACACCCGGCCGGTCCCGTCATCGAAGTAGTCCGGCTGGTACATGTAGAGCACCCTGTCGAGCTTGCTCTGCAAGAAAGCGTTCTTCATGTCGAGCTGCATCAGGTGGAGGTCGAGAACGGCGAAGATGCTGAGGAAGATCCTCAGCGTGACGTAGCTGCTCACCGGCGAGTACGTCTCGTCGTAGTCGGCACCGTACACCTGCGTGAAGCCCTTCACGACCAGCCTCGCCTTCTCGCGCTCGACGGTGTCGTCGATGCGGTACTTGGTCGTCAGCACCCACCGGTTCTTCATGATGTCCACCCTGCGTGGGCCTTCGACTAGCTCCCAAGTCCCTATGCCGATGAGGCTGCGGATCTCTTCTTCCATGGCGGCCTTCACCGCCTCGCCCTTCCAGCTCGACAGCGCCTCCTTCACCGTCATCGTGGCGATGTCCCAGCGGTGTTCGGGGTCGGCATGCACGTCAGGGTCGAGCTCCGGCAGGTCTTCATCCTCCTCGGCGTCGTCGTACAACAGGTCGTCGTCGACCTCGTCGAACACCGTGGTGAAGGCGGCTGGCGGTAGGCAGGCGTGGAAGCTCAGCCGCTCCGGTGGCCGTCGAGCTCGACCTGTGCGTCGCAGCTCAGGCTTCGTGATCGGCACTTCTACTACGTCGCTGTCGGTGGACTCCTCACCCGCCGACTGCTCCCCTTCCTCGTCGACGTCCTCGTCGTCGACCAGCTGCTTCGACCCTTCGACCGGTTGCTCGTCTGCTGCTGACTTCGACAGCTCCCCTGTCGACCGCCCCGGCTGCTGCTCCCCTGTCGAATGTACCCCTGCTGTTGCCTCCTGTACGACCGGCTCCCCTGTCTGATGCTCCCCTGTCGTCGACGGCTTCCCATCCTGGTCGACGAGCTTGGCGCCTTGTCGACCGCCGGCGATGCCACGGGCCGGCGCCACAGGCGACGCCTCAAGGCTCCCCTCATCGTCGGTGGTCGACACAGGCCGATCTGCGACGGGGAACGGAGGAGCAAGAGCAGGGGGAGGGGAAAGAACCTCCACAACATCCTCATCAGCAGGCTCGTCGACGTCGGCGAGCAACGGAACCGTCGCCGTCGAGGTGTCCGTCGGCGGGTGTGCCTGCGTCCGCCCTGACGCCGGCCCATACTTCGCCTTCCACACCTCCAGCGACAGCGTCTCGTAGAAGATCACCTCGACCGACGTGACCACCCGGTTGTCGGTCAGGTCGAGCACCTCCCAGCCCTTGCTCTCCGACGACACACCCAGGTGAAGTCCCCAGCGAGCCTTCGGCGCCAGCTTCCCACCGCGCTGCTGCTCGGGAACCATGAACTGCACCATGCAGCCCCACACCCGCGCAAGCGTAAGGTCGGGCTTCGTCCCGGTCAGCAGCTGGTACGGAGTCGTCCCCGGCGGCGTCGTCGACCGCTCCAAGCAGTTGCGCACCCAGACAGCTTGTCGTAGAGCAAGGTGCCACCAGTGGTGCTGCACGCCCATGTGCAGCAGCATCGTCCGCACGGACTCGACGACCGTGCGCATCTCCCGCTCAGCCATTCCATTCTGCTGCGGAGTGTAGGGGCACGTCAGGTCGTGGACGATGCCCTTCCCGTCGACGAAGTCGGTGAACGCCTTCCCGAGGAACTCCCCTCCTCGATCGGAGCGAAGCGACAGCACCGACTTCTTCGTCTGCCGTTCCACCAGCACCAGCCACCGCTGGAACTCCCGCAGCACGTCGCTCTTCTTAGCGACCGGCATTGCCCATACAAATCGAGTATGGCGATCCTTCACCAGCAGGAAGTACAAGCTGCCATCCTTGGCAGCCACCCGAAATGGCCCGCACAAGTCAATGTGCACGACAGCTAGCGCCTTCGCTGCGTCCGAGCCCTTGGCGGGGAAGGTGTGTCGCGCCAGCTTTCCTCCGACGCACGAGACACACGGCGGGTCTGCTCCGGTCGACGACGTGATGTCGAGCCCAGTAGCAACACCATGCTTCGCCGAGCTCTTTATCGTGTCGACGCCGACGTGGGCGAGCCGCGCATGCATCCTATCGGGGGTCGTCTTCGTCGCCGAGACGATCGTCCGCAGAGCCACCACCTCGGTCGACGGCGACTGCGTCGAGCAGGGGCGAAGGTCGGTGCACAGGACTCGTCCGGTGTAGCGTGCTCGACCGAGCACCTCCCCGATCGCGGCGACGAGCAACATCTCGTCGCTATCGCCCTGCAGCAGCACCCCGCTCTCCTTCAGCTGGCCAGCAGACAGCAGGTTCGCCTGTACGCCCGGAACGTAGAGTACGTCGGGGATGAGGACCCGCTTCCCGGCCTCCCCTTGCAGAGCGACGGTTCCGCGACCCTCGACAGGCTGCAATGCCCCGTTGAACCCACGCACGTGCTTCACACCGTCGCTCGGCCCCATGTCGACGAAGACCGACTTCGTCCCCATCAGGTGGTGGGAGCACCCGCTGTCGAGCAGCACCGCCATCGGGTTGGCCTGCACAGCTGTCGCCACTGCCTGGAAGTCCTCGCCAGCCTCCGGCGCCAGCGAGACCGTCGGCTCCACGACGCCGACCATCGAGCACGACGCCTCCCTGTCGCCTCGGCTCTTGCCGCTGGAGCTGTCGACGTCCTTCGTCGACGACGTCTTCTTTGACGCTTGCTTCTCCTTGCGCGGCTTCTCATCTCGACGGGGGCGACGACTGGCCGATCGACCACGGCCTCCCTTGTTGTCGTCCTCGTCGCTGTCATCGCGGTCGGGGCACTCGAAGGAGAGATGGTCGGGGTCGCCGCAGATCCAGCACTCCCGCCGTCGACCACCACCACCTCGTCGACCCTTGTCCCGCGTCGACCGCTTCTCGTCGACGTCCTTCGTCGACCGCCCACCTCCGCTACCACCTCCGCCCGGCTTCCCACCGCGGTGCCCTTGCTGCTGATTCAGCTTCGTCGATGCAGCGTAGTTTGCCTGCGGAAGGAGCTCTGTGGGCTGTTCAGCCTCCTGCATCGCCTCATCTTGAAGAATGTAGCTGGTGATGGAGTCCTCGTCGAGGGACTCACGCGTGCCGGGCACCATCATCATCCTCTTCATGAGATTGTAGCTGCGCGGCAAGCCCTTGACGATGTGGGTGATGTAGGACGCCGTCGAGTATTCGGCGCCCGCCATCCGCATCTCAGCCAGGATCCGTCGAGCACGGTTGCAGTAATCCGTCGCCGACTCCTGCTCGCCCATCCGAATGTGAGTCATCTTCTCCTCCAGCTGCCCGATGTACAGGTCGTCCCTGACCTGGTACGTCGACATGATGAAGCGCCATGCCTGGTGACCAGCATCCAGTCGCTCTCGACAGCTCCTGAGCGCTAGCTGCACCACCGGCGAGCAGCACCTCGAGATGACCATGAAGGTGAGCAGGTGAGCAGAACGAAACTCTCCACGCAGCTCGACATCCTCCTCGGGCGGAATTGTCACGGTGCCGTCGGCGAAGCCCTTCAGCCCGGCGACCTCCAGCTGAGGTTCTATCGACTCCCTCCAGGTGATGAGGTCCCGTTGACCTTGCAGCGGTGCGACGGTGATCCGGTCCGGCGAGAATTTGAAGTAGCCATACGCCGGTGCAATCCCGCCTGCAGTCACATGCGACGTCGCCGAGAGCCCTCCACCGCTTCGTAGAGGAGAGCGACGTCGAACATCGACGCCGGCACGCGAGCTGCCTGCAGCCGCCGTCGACCACTGCACTCGCGCCTGGATTCCGTCGACACCACCGTCGACCTTGATCACCCCTCTCTGCCCCATGCCTTCGCTGCCGCTGACTCGTGCACCACCGTCGACCTCGTCGTCGACGCCACCTTCGTTGCGCACCGGTCGAGGAGAAGCAGGACGGGAAGAGTGTTCCGTCGCCCACTGCGACCGGATGCCCAACTCGGCGATCACCAAGGGGATCGTCCCGTACTCGCCATCCGCGTGGCGTCTCCTCGCGTCAGCCAAACGTGCCTCCAAGGTGTCCGCTACGCCCGCATCAACTACGGGGTCGACCATGGCGACTATCGCTGCTGCTGGCCTACGAACGACTTAGTAGGTGCAAAAGTCGGCTCCGATCTGAAGGTATTTGCGGGGCCGTCCACGCTCACCGCACCATGCGGAGAGTCACTCTACAACGGTAGTGAGCTAGACTACGGGGGTTGGCACGAACTACTAGAGGTGATCGTAGCTTTGCTTGGTTCCTTAGTGCTTGCACATTCACGGGAGAAATCGGCAAGAGTTTCCACTAGGCAAAGTCGAAATTACAGAAAATAATTCAACAAGCAATGACAGAATGACTACATCAGGCACCTAGCAACCCTGCAGCTAGCCTGGTCGACCGCCAGCACAGCTCGGTCGACCGCCTGCCAGCGTTGCGTAGAGGAGCCGCGCCAGCACTGCAGAAGGGCGACCTGCCAACAGAGCAGGCGACGGCGTGCCAACGCTGCAGCAGAGCGGCTGTCCAGCGTTGCCCCGTAGAACACAGCAGTGCGCACGCTCGCAGGTGCACGCAGACGATTGGCCCGACTTGCTTCGTTGGGCATCCGTCGGCTGTTGTCTGCGCCTGACAAGCCACATCGACTTCGGGATACCAGCCCGCAGTCGTCTTCGCCATCGCAACCTCGACGACGTTCGCGTGCCTCCGCAGAACTCGTCGAGCAGGTTACCTGGTCGACCACCAGGTCCCTTTGGTCGACCACTAGGTGCCTCCGGTCGACCACAACTCCCGTCGAGCTACCCCCTGGTCGACGGACCCCTTCCGTCGACCAGAACCGTCAGCGGTTGTCGCCGAGCTCCCCTCGTCGACCGCTGCTTCACTTGCCAGGTCGACGGGATGCTCCGGAGACCTCCCGGTCGAGCTGCAGGTCGACGGACTGCTCCCGGTCGAGCTCCAGGTCGACGGGGACCCCCTGGTTGAGCTGGAGGTCGACGGAGACCTCCCGGTCGAGCTGCAGGTCGACGGAGGCCTCCCGGTCGAACTGCCCCTCCTGGTCGACGGCCCACCCGTCGCCCAGACCAGTCAGTTGCAGCTGTCGAGCTCCCTGGTCGACAGCAGCACCACAGCAGTCCCCTGCAGCTCGACAATGCCTGTCGAGCAGCTCTCCCACTGTGAACGGTCGGCTGCTACTCCCGTACATCCGACCAAGTCGTCGGCGTTGCCCAAGCGAGGGCGGGGCCAACTCCCCATTCCTGTTAACAGTGGTGAGGTAAGGGTGAGAATAACGAATGGGGAAATACACATTGCGTCCCTCAACATCAACACATAGTGGTTGGTCTCCCGGAGCTATCAATGTGCCAGAGGAGGATAGGGTGCAAGGGGGACACCTAAAGTTTCTATTAGGAGGGGGATGAGAGGGGGTTGTGGACTTGAAAAGCAGGGGCCAAAGGGAAGGAGAAATTGGCAAGAGTTATAATATGTAATATGGTGAGATGGGGAGTTCTAAATGCTGTACAATGGGGTCCAATAGGCAAAACAAAGCAAAACATTAAATGGCCAGACGTCGCCTTTCCCCCCAGCAGGCCACCGAGAGGGAGACTCAGCAGCACCGTCCTACTTCTACTCTCACTTTCATCTCACTCTCTCCCTGCCCATCCTTCTCTGCACTCGAATCTCCCTTCCTCCCACCAGCCATTTGAGGCCACCAAGAGAGACATTCAGCAGCTGTTTGCACCTTTCGCGCAGGTGAGCTGTTTGCACCTTTCGCGCAGGTGAGCTGTTTGCACCTTTCGGGCAGGTGAGCTTTGTGCGCTGGTGTAATAAGAACCGGCAGGCAATCTTCTACAGAGTAACTGGTGAGCATATCTTAGCAGGTGATTACTCATACATGACTCTTTCTGCTTCGGACAATCTGATTTTGGGAATTCTCATAATAAATCTCCAACGAAAAAGACGGTTGTTTTATATCTGGCTGTGCTCATGGCCCTCTCCCTTTTTCTCGCAAGCTTCACAGGGTTTATCGAAAAGTCATCTCTTCTGCTGCAATTTCCATTCCCTTTTTCTCCCAGCCTGCTCGCCATTTTTCAAAACCTTCCTCCCCTCCATCCCCCACCACCACCAAACCCCACCCTCCCTCCTCCCCCTCTTCCCCCAACCCTCAGCTCAAGAGCATGCGGCTTCCCCGCAAGTTCAACGGGGGGCACAGGGGGTTTGCGTTTGTGGAGTTTGCAACAAAGAGGGAAGCTGAGAGTGCCTTTGATGCGCTCAAGAGCACCCACCTGTATGGCCGCCACCTTGTGCTTGAAAGGGCCAAGGAGGGCGGGGGGCTTAACGAGCTACGTGCCAAAACTGCCGTCCAGTTTCTGGATGGCGGGGCGGGCGGCGTGCGGCAGAAGAAGCGTGCCAAGCTGGGGCAGGGCGTGGATGACAGTGATGTGGCATTTCGGGAAATGCAGTTTGGTTGAAGTTTTTTTTTACACTGATGCTGATTATGAGTGTTAGTGGTGCTAGAACAGTAGCTAGAATGCAAGAGCCATAGCTAGGGTTTAGCTAGCTAGGCACGAGAGAATAGGCAAAGGAGGGCTTTCACTAGTAGGCAGTTGAGTACATATATGAAACCCTAACAGGGCTGTACTCACTATAGAGTACCCCACTGCAGACTAGAGAAATATAACATTCTGACACACCCCCATAGTCAAAGTGGGGTATAATCAGCACAGCAAGTAGTCATAGAGCTGGTTCACAAGTTCAAGCAAAGCTAGAGGCAGTCACAGAGGGCAAGTGAGGAGGAGGAGGGACTGTGAGAGGAGAGGAGGTGGTGGGCGGCAACTGAAGCTGCTGGCACACGGCGCAACTGGAGCAACTGGCACGCGGGCAACTGGAGCAACTGGCACACTGGCAACTGGAGCAACTGGCACACGGGCAACTGGAGTAACTGGCTCCGCGGCTAGACGAGCGGCAGGAGCAACTGACTCACAGGCGACTGGAGCAACGGGCTCACGGGCGACTGGAGCAACGGGCTCACGGGCGACTAGCGCAACGGTCTCACGGGCGACTGGAGCTGCTAGATTCACGGCGGCCATCCCCCTTCGACCTCCCCCATTGTCCCAAAATTCCCGTTCACACACCCCTTGCTGCACCCCTAGCTCCACTCCCATGTCACCCCCCTAGCGCCACTCCCTCGGCTCCCACACACCCACCCCCCTCAGCGGCAGCTGCAGTAGTGGGAGACGGAGTAGGAGGAGGAGCAGGGAACGGCTCACACACCCGCCACCCCCATACCCGCCACCCCAAGATCCAAACGCAGGCGGGGCGGGGCGGGGCGGGTAGCAGCTGGTGCGGCGTGCGAGCGGAAAGCAGGGCGGGGCGCGGGTCCCTGGGGCGCTGCGACGGGCGAAGAACAGGGCGGCGTGCGGGCCCCCAGGGCTCCACGACGGGCGACGCGCGGGCCCCCAGGGCGCCGCGACGGACGACGAGAGAGGGGCGACGCGCGGGCCCCCAGGGCGCCACGACGGGCGACGGGAGGGGGCGACGCGCAGGCCCCCGGGGCGCCACGACGGGCGACGGGAGAGAGGGGCGACGCGCGGGCCCCCAGGGAGCCGCGCCGGGCGACGGGAGGCGGGGCGACTCGCAGGCTCCCAGGGCGCCACGACGGGCGACAGGAGGGGACAGCGCGCGGGCCCCCGGGGCGCCACGACGGGCGACGAAACCGCTGCGCGCTCATGGGGCGCGCGGCAAGTAGGAAACCGCCATGCGCCCCGAGCGCGTGGCGGGCAGAAAACCGCCACGCGCTCGGGGCGCGTGGCGGGAAGGAAAAAAAAAAAGGTCGCGCGCCACGGGGCGCGCGACAGACAGTATGGCAGCGGAAGCAGGCGGGCCCACAGGCCAGGAGCGTAACCACTCTGTTACCATGTTAGAACAGTGTCTAGAATGCAAGAGCCATAGCTAGGGTTTAGCTAGCTAGGCAAGAGAGAATAGGCAAAGGAGGGCTTTCACTAGCAGGCAGTTGAATACATATATGAAACTCTAACAGGGCTGTATTCACTATAGAGTACCACACTGCAGACTAGAGAAATATAACATTCTGACAAGTGGAAATGTTAAAATCAGTAGTACGGTATCTTCCAAAAGCATCATGCAGTGTTGGACAATGACTTAGGCTCAAATGCCAGTATTGAACAAGGTTTTTCTTTATCCAGCATGTGTATTGTAGTATGTTTCATTAATCACAAAAGAAAAACAGGAATACTAGTGTAAGGTACAACGGAACCACAGAGGAGAAAGTGGTATTATTAAGCAAAAAGAGGAATGACAATAACGAGTGCAGAGGGAAACCCCCCTACGGCCCCCCAAGGCCCCCCTACCCCCCAAACCTCCTCATAGCCCCTCACAGCCCCCTAACGAAGCGTACCCCCCAGCCAAATCCTAATCCGACGAATGCTTGCGTGGTTCGACTGCCAGCGTCAGCTGGCAGTCGATTGAACCTTTTCAGTGCCCCCCATCTCACCTCACCCTAACTCGCCCACATCGCGGGTTGAGTTGAGTTTGTTTCCTACTACTAGTGCATGCTAACCGCGACCAGCGCTGCACCAGGCCGGTTATCTAGTGCTTCCCTTCCCCGATCACTCCGTCACGAAAACCAAAGAGGCACACGGCATACTATGGCGATTCCGGATCGTGCTACATCCTGCGGCGAGTAGAAGTTATTATTCTATCTAGAGACAGTAGTAAGGACATCCCAAATAGAAGCAGCAGTAGCTAATCACTGCCGCGTTGCACGGTGATGCGGTGCCCTGTAGAACCCCGCTACACCATCCTTCCGCCATGCATCGCTGCTCCTCCGCTCGCCCGCGCCGGTCTGACCGAACACTATTACTACCGCCGCGCCGCTCCTCCATTTTTTGCCTGCGCAGGCACCATCAATACTAGCCGCGCTGTGAGCGAATTGCCCGATCAATCCTGTGACAAACCCTAGAAAATATACTGTGACAACTTCCCTAGTAAGCTATTCTCTGTGGAATCTACACGACTTGTTTTTTTTTCTCCCTCTTTTGTTACATCGATCGCCTAGCCTCAGCGTTAACGTTGCGCATGCCATGATGTGACGCGGCAGGCGCATGGCAGCAGAGCGGGAGAAAGTGCCGACTCATAGAATTAGCATCAAAGCCAGGCTGCGGCGGCAGCAGCAGGGCACGGCGCGATGATGGCGAGGCGCCGGGCGGCGTCGGCACTAACGCATCACCAGCCAGAGGCATTTTCGCGGGCGTGTGTTCGACGCCGGCCGTGCCACGTGGCGTGACGACCGGTGAGGGAGGACGCGCCGCGTGGCAGGTGAGGCGGCGGCTGACGTGAGTGAGGCGAGTGGTCTGAATTCTGATCGCCCCGCTCCCACCGCCACCCTGCTCCCATCGCCCTCCTCGCACATGGCATGTGCACTAAAAATCTATGCTCTCCTTGTCACGTGCTGCCGTCCGCCCTGCCATGAGCAGATCAGCAGCAAGCGAAAACAGGAGGCACAGCAGGAGAAGAGAGCAGACGCATCAGAATGTGGTGAAGGAGCAGCGGAGGAAACAACAGTGAGGTGAGCAGGTGAGGAGAGAGTAGCGAGCAGGTGGGGAGAGAGGAGGGAAGCAGGTGAGGCGAGGAGGGGAGCAGATGAGGAGAGGAGGGGAGCAGATGAGGAGAGGGGGGGAGAAGGTGAGGAGAGAGGGAGAGCAGGTGAGGAGAGGAGGGGAGCAGGTGAGGAGAGGAGGGGAGCAGGTGAGGCGAGGAGGGGAGCAGGTGAGGCGAGGAGGGGAGCAGGTGAGGAGAGGAGGGGAGCAGGTGAGGAGAGGAGGGGAGCAGGTGAGGAGAGGAGGGGAGCAGGTGAGGAGAGGGGGGGAGCAGGTGAGGAGAGGAGGGGAGCAGGTGAGGAGAGGAGGGGAGCAGGTGAGGAGAGGAGGGGAGCAGGTGAGGAGAGGAGGGGAGCAGGTGAGGAGAGGAGGGGAGCAGGTGAGGCGAGGAGGGGAGCAGGTGAGGCGAGGAGGGGAGCAGGTGAGGCAGGGAGGGGAGCAGGTGAGGCGAGGTGGGGAGCAGGTGAGGTGAGGAGGGGAGCAGGTGAGGAGAGGAGGGGAGAAGGTGAGGCGAGGAGGGGAGCAGGTGAGGCGAGGAGGGGAGCAGGTGAGGAGAGGAGGAGAGCAAGAGAGGAGAGGACGAGAGCAGGTGAGGAGAGAGGAGGGATGGCGGTATGGATGGCACGAGGCCTGTCGATGGGGGGTCTGGGGCTGGGAGGTGCAAGGCGAGGGGGGATGGGCAGGTGGGGGTTGTTGGCACCTTCGGCAATTGACAGGAAAAGACGAGGAAAGTTCTATATGCCCTCCCTCCCCTCTTCATCCCTGCCGTTTCTTACCCCCCATTCCCCCCTCCCTCCCCTCCCCCTCCCCCCCTTAGTAGCAGCAGCAGCAGCAGAGAACACACCAGCAGAAGCAGGGGAGGCAGCAAACATCCATCAGCAGCAGGAGACAGCACCAGCCACCGCAGCAACAGCAGCATGGGGAAACCAGAGATTAGAAAGATCTGCTACCTGGCACAAGCATCAGCGCGGCCTCTACAGCAGCGGGAGCGGCAGAATTTGTAGCAGCAGCAGATGCAGCATCAAAGGCAGTGCGTTTTTGTGTACCAACTCTGAATTATGTACAAACCAGCCTAGCAAACTACGCCTAACGAAGAAGAAAAGGCCAGTGTACGTAAAACACACCGCATAGTGGACAGATTTGCCGACATCTGAAAAATGTGCAAGAAATCGTCAACAGTCTTGACACCACGTAGTGAAGTGGCACTACTCATCGTCATACGGTGCTCTTTCAAACCAATTAGAGGGTCGGATAGTTTCCTAGTGAAACCTTCTGAGCAGAAACTCTGTGGTATGACAAACACAGATCTGTACCAACCGTGTCTGTTTCGGTCTCATAAGCTTAGCATTTGCAACAGCGCCAAGTATGGGATGTATGGGTTGGGTTGTTTGTTAGCAATATTCAGTTGATTGTGGTTTGGATTGGATTGTCATTCGAGGGTACCATAAGACCATCAAAGCGATGGCAGTAGTTGCAACATGAATAATAACTTGATCCTGAAAAATAATTGTTTTCATCTCATTGTTCCAACTACTTAGAAAGATGTCGTGTGATTTCCGCTTCTAGGAAGTGAGGGGCGCGTGGAGCGAAAACGATGGTGCTGTCAAACATATATGCTATAGTCTGTATAGGCTGTAGTGGGGGTAGTTCATATGGGGTACAACACTTTAGGGTTTCCTACTTGTACTCCTCATCCTGCTCGATGCAATCATTCCTCGTTCTGTTTTCACATGGTTTCAGAGCAGGTTCCCTAGTGGGAACGTTTTTTTAGGGCCCACCACGAACTTTTGTTTCCTGCCCTGCCCGAAGCGCGCTGCCGTGCCTGCCTGCCCCGTCGCGCGCCTCGCGCCTGCCTCACCTGCGCCCTTGCGCCTGCCCTGCTGTGCGCCGTCGAGCGCCTGCCCTACCCGCGCCATCGCGCGCCTGCCCTACCCGCCGTCGAGCGCCTGCCCTACCTGCCGCCCGTTGAGCGCCTGCCCTGCCGTCGCGGCCCTACCGTCGCGGCCTTGCCGCCGCGGCCCTGCCGTCGAGCGCCTGCAGCCGCCGCTGCTGCTCTGCCCTGCAGCCGCCGTCGCGCTTGCAGCCACCGTTGCGGCCCTGCCCTGCCGCCGTCGCGCCTGCAGCCGCTATCGCGGCCCCACAGTCGCCGCCGTCGTGCGCCTACCCTGCCGCCACCCATCGAGCGCCGGCCCTACCCGCCCGTCGAGCGCCTGCAGCCGCCCGTCAAGCGCCTGCCCTGCCGTCGCCCGTCGAGCGCCTGCCCTACCCGCGCCTGTCGCGCGCCTGCCCTACCCGCCGCCGGTGGCACCTGACTACCCGCCCCTGGTGAGCACCTGCCCTACCTGCGCCAGCCGCGCCTGCCTGCCTGCCTAGCCGCGCCGCTCAGCCGAGCCGCGCCGCCCTACCGAGCCGCGCCGCCCAGCCGAGCCGCGCCGCTCTGCCGAGCCGCGCCGCTCTGCCCTACTGAGCCGCGCTGCCCTGCCTACTGCTGCTTCTGCTGCTACTGCTGCTACTGCTGCCACTACTGTTACTGCCACCATGGCTAGCCCTACAGTTCTTACCTTCGATGCTGAGGGTCGTGCAGTTGACTTCAATGTTTGGGTAGATGATCTGCAGCTCTTTCTTCAGTGCGATTCTAAGGACGGAGTCTCGCTTTTCGATCTCACGTCCGGCGCCGCTGCTGCACCTGCTGCCGATGCTGACAGTACGGTTTGCTCGCAGTGGACTAATCGTGATGCTGTTGCTTGCCTTGCTGTTCGTAGTCACCTGCCATCTGCTGAGCGCGCGCACTTTGGCTAGTACAAGACTGCTAAGTCTTTGTATGACGCTGTCGTAGTACGCTACTCCTCCCCTGCCACTGCTACCCTCAGCCGCCTCATGCTACCGTACCTGTTCCCTGACCTGGCCGCCTTTGCCACAGTCGCTGACCTCATTACTCACCTCCGCACTAGTGACGCCCGCTACCGCGCTGCGCTTCCCTCCGTGTTCTGTGCCAAGAACCCCCCCCCCCCCCCCCATGTACATCACCCTCTTCTACCTAGTCACCTGTCTCACTGACTCCCTTTCCTCAGTCAGAGACCACTTTCTCTCCCTTTGCCCCACCGAGCTCACCGTCAACCTGCTAGAGGAGCGCCTCACTGCAGCTGAGAAGAGTATAGTTGCTGTAGGTGCTTCTCACGGCGACCCTCGCGCCCCGTTCTTTGAGGGGTGTTCCCCCGTTCCCCTTCTGCCCTCTGTTGCTTCTGCTTCTGCTGCTGCTGTTGACCTCCTTGGCACCGAGGAGGTCGGGGCTGCGTTTGCTCCTAATGAGAGGCGCCGCAGCAGCAAGGGCAAGGGGGGCAAGGGTGGTGGAGGGGACGGCGGGGGCGGCGGTGGTGGCGGTGGAGGAGGCGGAGGGGGTGGGGGTGGAGGCAAAGGTGGTGGCGGGAGTGGGGGCGTCGGTGGCGGCGGTGGAGGTGGTGGAGGCAGCGGCAGCGGTGGTGGAGGCAGCGGCAGCGGCGGTGGAGGCAGCAGCGGCGGCGGTGGAGGTGGCGGCGGCGGTGGTGCTGGTCGGGGTGGAGCTGCGCGGCGTGGAGGCTTTGGCGGTAGCCAGTGCCAGCAGCAGCCGCGTTCCCGCGAGACCCCGTTGCCCCAGCAGCTTCGTGAGTGGTACGCTGGGCGTGGGAGGTCTGGGGGTGCTGGTCCCTGCACTTACGTTCTCCGCACCGGCGGGCGCCGTGGGGAGACGTGCGGCCTGCCACACTCGCCGCAGCGCTGTTTCGGTCGCCTGTCTGACGCCTGGCGCGCACAGTTTCCTGACGCCACTGAGCTCCCTAGCTGGGCTGATCTGCTTAGGCAGAATGTTGATATCTTTGCTCTTGACTATGATGCTATCCTTGCTGCCATGTATGCTGTGACTATTAGTGCTGAGGGTGACGGTTACCTGTGTGTGCCGCCTGACCCAAGTATAGAGTCTGCTGCTCTAGGTGCTGGTGAGGCTGCTGCTCTAGGTGCTAGTGAGCCTACTACTCCAGGTGCTGGTGAGTCTGCTCTCTCTGGTACTGCGCCTTCTGAGGCCTTACACACCTTCACACTTGACTCAGGTGCTTCCCGCTCCTTCTTTCGCGACAGCACCACACTCACGCCGCTCAGTCGGCCGGTTGCAGTCTCCCTGGAGGACCCCTCTGGGAACCCAGTCCTTGCGCACTCCTCCACGGTCCTGCCGTGTCCGGCGGTCCCGTATGGCTCACTGTCGGGTCTTCACCTCCCCTCGTTCTCTACGAACTTGGTGAGTGGAGCTGACCTCCAGGATAGGTGGGTTGACCAGTTCACTCCTGGAGGTCAGCGGGTGACCCACTGTACGTGCTCCCAGACGGGCCAGCACCTAGCCACGTTTACCCGTGCGCTTGGTTCGAGTCTGTACACACTGACTACTGTGTCCCCTCAGGTAGCTGCGTCTGCGTCTGCGTCAGGTCAGCTAGCGGCCCCCTGCTCGTGTCGCGCTTTGTCGCACCAAACCGTCCTTTGGCACCACCGTCTTGGTCACCCCTCGGTGCAACGCCTTCGTGGCATGCACCGCCGTGTCCTTGTCTCTGGTCTTCCCAGGGTTCTCCCTCCCCTCCCACCCTCGCCTGCTCCTCCCTGTCTTCCCTGTGTCGAAGGGCGGCAGCGCACCGGTCCTCACTCCTCCTCGTTTCCCCCGACGACTGCTCCCCTGCAGACCCTCCACATGGACGTGTGGGGCCCAGCCCGCGTTCGTGGACAGGACCGCGAGCGGTACATTTTGCTGGTCGTTGACGACTACACGCATTACACCATGGTCTTCCCCTTGCGCACCAAGGGTGAGGTCCCTGATGTTTTGATCCCTTGGATCCGCACTGCCCGTCTCTAGATCCGCGAGCAGTTCGGGACGGACTTTCCTGTCCTGCATCTGCACTCTGACAGAGGTGGTGAGTTTGCCTCTGACTTTCTGCGGGACTTTTGTCGTGGGAAGGGCATTCGTCAGACGTTCACGCTCCCGGCCTCACCGCAGCAGAATGGGGTTGCTGAGCGCCGCATTGGCTTAGTCATGGAGGACGCTCGTACCTCCATGGTCCATGCGGCTGCCCCCCATTTTCTGTGGCCGTTTGCGGTCCGTTACGCTGCGCATCGGCTCAACCTCTGGCCCCGTGTCTCCTTGCCGGAGACCTCGCCCACACTGCGTTGGACGGGGAAGGTTGGCGATGCGTCAATGTTTCGGGTCTGGGGTTCTCGTGCCTTTGTCCGCGATACTACCGCGGACAAGCTCTCCGCCCGTGCTTTTCCCTGCGTCTTCCTTGGCTTTGTCCCTGACGCGCCTGGCTGGCAGTTCTACCACCCCACCTCGCGCCGTGTCCTGCCCTCTCAGGACGTTACGTTCGACGAGCCGGTTCCCTTTTACCGTCTCTTTCCCTACCGCACTGCCTCTCTCCCCCCCCCCCGCCGCTCTTCCTTGCCCCAGGTCCTCCTCCGGTAGACCCCCTCCCCCCTCAGGGTCCTGCTCCGTCTGGTGTGTCCCAGGTAGACGCTGTTGAGCCTGTTGAGGTAGAGGTTGACTTTGGTGCGGCTACTGGGGGTGGTGCTGCTGGGGGTGCTGAGCCTGAGCGTGTGGAGTCTGGGGGTGATGAGCCTGGGGTTGCTAAGTCTGAGGGTGCGGAGCCTGGAGGTGCTGAGTCTGAGGGTGCTGAGTCTGAGGGTGCTGAGTCTGAGGGTGCTGAGCCTGGGGGTGCAGAGCCTAGAGGTGCTGAGCCTGAGGGTGCTGAGCCTGCGGTTGCTGAGACTGGGGGTGCTGAGTCTGCTGGAGTTCCTGCAGGTGCCTCGTCTCGGCAGGAGCCTCTCTCTCCACCACAGCTACCTGAGTGGTTTGATCGCCGCTGGAGACTCCAGCGAGGTGCTGCTGGAGCTGGAGCTGCTGGAGGTCCTGCTGGTGCAGGTGCTGCTGGAGCTGGAGCTGCTGGAGGTACTGCTGGTGCTGGAGCTGCTGGAGGAGCTGGAGCTGCTGGAGCAGGAGGTGCTGCCGGAGCTAACGCTGCTGGAGGTACTGCTGGTGCTGGTGCAGCTGGATGTGCTGGAGCCGCTGGTCCCGGAGGTGCTCGTACTGGAGGTACTGGAGCTGCTCGGGCTGGTGGTACTACCGGAGTTGAAGCTGGAGGC